TAAAATCAAGCATCTAGCAATGCAGTCATGTTGTTTGTGAAAGAATGGGTCATTCAGATGAGCTCAACAAATTCAAGCGTGGTACTGCCATAGGAGGCCACCTTTGCAATAGTTCAGTTTGTAAAATTCCTTCCCTGCTAGATATTTCATGGTCAGTTGTAAGTGGCATTATTGCAAAGTGGAAACGTTTAGGAACAGTAACAGAGTGGGGTTGCCAAGTGTTGAGGCGCAGAGTGTGTAAAAGTCGCCAGTACTCTGTTGACTCAATACCTGCAGAGTTCCAAACCTCCTCTGGCATTAACCCCAGCACAAAAACTGTGCGTCGGGAGCTTCCATAGCTGAGCAGCTTCATGCGAGCCTCACATCACCAAATGCAATGGCAAGCATCAAATGGAGTGGTGTGAAGCACAACGCCACTGGACTTTGGAGCAGTGGAAACATATTCCATGGAGCGACAAATCACACTTCCCTGTCTGGCAGTCTGATGGACGAGTCTGAGATTGGTGGATACAAAGAGAACATTACCTGCCTGACTCTATAGTTGTGGCTAAGGGTTTTGAGAATGACACAAGTATTGGTTTTCACAAAGTTTGCTGCTTCAGTGTTTGTAAATCTTTTTGTCAGATGTTATACTGGTATACTGCTATACTGAAGTATAATTACAAATATTTCATAAGTGCCAAAGGCTTTTATTGACAGTTACATTAAGTTTATGCAAAGAGACAATATTTGCAATGTTGGTCCTTCTTTTTCAAGACCTCTGCAATTCGCCCTGGCATGCTGTTAATCAACTTTTGGGCCACATCCTGACTGATGGCAGCCCATTCTTGCATAATCAATGCTTGGAGTTTGTCAGAATTTGTGGGCTTTTGTTTGTCCACCCACCCCTTGAGGACTGACCACAAGTTCTCAATGGGATTAAGGTCTGGGGAGTTTCCTGGCCATGGACCCAAAATGTTGATGTTTTGTTCCCTGAGCCACTTAGTTATCACTATTGCCTTATGGCACGGTGCTCCATCATGCTGGAAAAGGGATTGTTCATCACCAAACTGTTCTTGGATGGTTGGGAGAAGTTGCTATCAGAGGATGTTTTGTACCATTCTTTATTCATGGCTGTGTTCTTAGGCAGAATTGTGAGTGAGCCCACTCCCTTGGCTGAGAAGCAAACCCACACATGAATGGTCTCAGGATGCTTTACTGTTGGCATGACACAGGACTGGTAGCGCTCACCTTTTCTTCTCCAGAAAATCTTTTTTTCGGATGCCCCAAGCAATCGGAAAGGGGATTCATCAGAGAAAATGACTTCACTACAGTCTTCAACAGTCCAATCCCTGTACCTTTTGCAGAATATCAGTCTGTCCCTGATGTTTTTTTGGAGAGAAGTAGCTTCTTTGTTGCCCTTCTTAGCACCAGGCCATCCTCCAAAAGTCTTCGCCTCACTGGACGTGCAGATGCACTCACATCTACCTACTGTCATTCCTGAGCAAGCCCTGCACTGGTGGTGCCCCGATCTCGCAGCTGAATCAACTTTAGGAGACAGTCCTGGCACTTGCTGGACTTTCTTGGGCGCCCTGAAGCCTTCTTCACTACAATTGAACCTCTCTCCTTGAAGTTCTTGATGATCCAATAAATGATTGATTTAGGTTCAGTTTTGCTAGCAGCAATATCCTTGTCTGTGAAGCCCTTTTTTGTGCAAAGCAATGGTGACTGCACATGTTTCCTTGCAGGTAACCATGGTTAACAGAGGAAGAACAATGATTTCAAGAACCACCCTCCTTTTAAAAGCATCCAGCCTGCCATTCTAACAATCTCTGCCAATCTCCAGCCTTGTCCTCGTCAACACTCTCACCTAATCACTGAAATGATGTTAGTGGGTTATTTTGTGGCAGGGCTGAAATGCAGTGGAAATCAGTTTTTTGGGATTAAGTTCATTTTCATGGCAAAGAATTGCAATTCATCTGATCACTCTTAACATTCTGGAGTATATGCAAATTGACATCATAAAAACTGAGGCATTCTAATAACTTTTGGCCATGGCTCTATTGTGCCAACTGTAAAGTTTGCTGGAGGAGGGATAATGGTATGGGGTTGTTTTTCAGGGGTTGTCTAGGCCCCTTAGTTCCAGTGAAAGGATCTCTTAATGCCTCAGCACAACAAGACATTTTGCACAATTCTATGCTTCCAATTTTGTGGGAACAGTTTGGGGAAGACCCTTTTCTGTTCAAGCATGACTGCGCCCCAGTGCACAGAGCAAGGTCAATAAAGACATGGTTGGGTGAGTTTGTTGTGGAAGACCTTTACTGGCTCGCACAGAGCCCTAACCTCAACCCTATCGAACACCTTTGGGATGAACAAGAGCAGAGATTGTGAGCCAGGTCTTCACGTACAACATCACACATGCTCACAAACTTCTGGATGAATGGGCAAAAATTCCCACAGACACACTGCAAAATCTTGTGGAAAGCCTTCCCAGAAGAGTTGCAGCTGTTTTAGCTGCAAAGGGGGGACCAACTCCATACTGATACCTATGGATTTAGAATGGGATGTAATACAAGTTCCTGTAGGTGTAATGGCCACAGTCTTTGAGTTAGGCAACCAAGCATTTCACTGCACACAGTACTGAGTATAACTGTATGTCAAATAATACTTTGATTGATTGATTGAATTCCAAATTATCTTCTTCTGTCATGTCATTAATCTCTTTTGACCTTCTCTCAGAAGTTAGAGAAATATTCAGATCTAATTAATTAAAAAACATCAACTACAGCTATTTTCAACCAAGTTTTATTTTTCATTTTGAAACCACTTAATATCATTCGAAATGTAATAATATATGTGAAAGTAGATAGATTGAAAGAAAAATAATGAGTTTCTTAGCATGATCAAACCACAGGAAATGAAAATAAAGTGTCTTGTTTATCAAAATCAACTGCTTAAGTTAAAAAAAATTGTATGCTAATGAAGAGGAAAGTGTTCTCTTAGTAAGCTGAAGATATGAGTTTCCAGTTCTCATTACAGCCTGTATGCTAATTGTTAATGATGTATAGGTTGGGTAATGAAGTAGCTATAAGGGGAGGGAATTGCTTTGATTGTACTGTGGGTAAAGATATTTGAACAAAATTTAATTACATCACCAGTTACTAATAATGATGAATTTCTAACTTGCAGTATATGCTGTATACCCCCTAAGAAAGCTCAGGATTTCCGTATACCCGCTTAAAACTTGCAATAATACACCATATACCCCCTAATAAAGCTCAGGATTTCTCTATACCTGCTTAAAATGTGCAATAATACACTGTATGCCCCCCTAAGAAAGCTCAGGATTTCTGTATACCCGCTTAAAACATGCAATAATACACCGTATACCCCCTAAGAAAGCTCAGGATTTCCGTATATCCGCTTAAAACATGCAATAATACACCGTATACCCCCTAAGAAAGCTCAGGATTTCCGTATAACCGCTTAAAATATGCAATGATATGGTGTTTACCCTCGAAGAAAGCTCAGGATTTCTGTATTACTTAGAAATGTACAAGGAATCAAGGATGCATATGTTTTATGACAGAAATTTCTCGAGCTAATTGTTTTCACAAACACTGGATTGGGAGAATGCAAGTTCAGTCGAATATGAAAGAAAAACATTTCAGTGAATCAGACAGCCGTGCCTCATAGAGGCATCAAAAAGACACCATCAAAAAGAGAGAAAACCTCCAATAAGAACTGCCCACTAGTAAGATGCAATCTGGCAATTAGTAACATAGCAAGAGCTTTTCCTTCAGAAAACACGCACAGTGCACGTCACAGTGAAGACCATCATCCTGAGGTGATCAATGAACATTTGCAGTTCTCTTTGTAATGCATGTATCCCAAACTCCAAATGAGGATGTTTCACTTTCTTGAGGCATGTGGTCCTTACAGCGGTCTGTTCCACCAGTGCAAATATTTCATCTCCATCCCCCTTCCAGCTTTTATTTTCAGTGAAATGACTGTAACAAAGGATGGCATAACAGGGCCATGACGCCATTCTAACCCTAAAAATCAACATATTCAACTACATGTGCTACACTCTACCTTATCTGTATTGTGCAGCTGTTTTCTGAACTGGTGTGATGTATATATAGCATGTGTATTCAGCTTGTAAAGGGATCACACGAAACCTTACTTCACAGAAAGGCCCATTGAAGTGGTCTTGAAAAACTCCTGTAAAGCTTAATTCTCCTAATTCCATTCAGCAGACTGGAAACTGACCTGATGAATCAGTCTCTGGAAATCATTATTCTCAGGACAGGGGGAAATGGACCATTCCAGGAGTGATGATCAACCCAATGGGAGGACAAGCTCAGATTTCATTTTTACATTTTGCATCCCATTTATGTGTTCTGCTGCTATGTAAGTCAATCCCACGCAAGGAGATTCATTAACCCCTCTGTCTTCATTTAAAGCACTTATCACCTCTATGCCCAGCTGCCAATACAAGCAGCACCAATCACTGGACAACCACCTGCTCCTGGTACAAGGAACTTATGGTAAAACAGGGCCTTTGTTTGCTGTGTCTCATTTGACATAGAGCAACGTTTTCCAATCCAGTCCTCGGGGATCCACAGACAGTCCACGTTTTTGCTCCCTCCCAGCTCCCGGCAGGACTTTCTGGCAGGGAGCAAAAACATGGACCATTGGACAGATTGGGAAACACTGACATAGAGAGAACACAGAGAGTTCCTTAGGCTCTGAGTGTCTTTCATGCTCCCCACAATCATATACTGAGTATGTTTCAGCTGTACCATTAGTTAACGAGTGCAACAGCCCTAAAGAAAACAGATCCCTAAAACTATAAGGCTTTTGAGGTACAGACAGCTGTTGGCATGTCTACAGAACTTTTTTAAGAAGCATTTTCGCACAATTGTGGAAAAAGGTGCAAAAGTGAACACAAAGGCTTAGTGTAGACGGAACAGTTGGGTAACGCTATCCAAGGAATGGCATACACCGAGGATTCTCACCTCAAAGAGCCGCAAGACGTTGGCCACCATGATGGACACGGAGCTGGCAGATGCCCCGATGACACCCACCACGCGCTCTGGCTTTCGGATGATGGGTGGCTCACCATTGGAGCAGCGTATGTCAGAGGTGTCCTTCTGAATAAGCGCTTGAACAAAGGTGAGAGACTGTTCTAGAGCATAAGTGTCCCTTGAGCAGGTATCAAGGATACGTGCGCCCAGGGTGATGTTGGGGAGTAGATCCGGGTCACTGTTGATCTGATCCACGGCATAGAGCATGGCCTCCATCCGGTGAATTCCTTTCTCCTTCTTTATCTCTCCACATGGAACTCCTGCAGGCCCTCTGGCATGGACTGGGAACAGCCCTCCCAGCGTGATGTCACCCTCTATCTTGATAGAGTGGGGCTGGGTACCTTGGTGTGCCCATAGCCCTGGGCTCAGTCCCATCCACAACATCCACAGAAGCTGGGGCAAAGCAATGGAATGACAGCTGGTCCATTGAAATGCCCAAATTATTCCACAGTAATGATGTAGCAGCGACTTTGGTGAGTATCGTGTCATGGTCATCACCAACAAACTCAAAAACTTTTATCTAACGGCTAAAGACTTCACCTTCTACCCAAAGCACCTGTATGGGAAAAGAGAAATTGAAAGTATTACAGAGGAGCTAATCACCATTTTCTTTGCTCGGGGGCTTTTCAAGTCACGACAAGAGGATTTAATTTCTAGGAAAGGGAGCAAACTCAAGTAGTGTCACGTGTTTGATATCCCAGATGACTTTAATATGCTTTAAATTTGCGTAAAATTAGCACGGAAAAAGAGGAATGTGAGGCTGAGAGTAGATTTTTTTCCCCCTCCTGATGTACAAATAAGTACAAATGGATGCTACAGTTACAAGCACTTAGACTTCTGCAATAATATTACATATCAGTTTTAGGACAGCTATAATTGAAAGCACTTTTTAGATCAGTCAGTGATGAAAAGGAGCAGTGAAGTCACAGTCCTGTGACTATACACTTTGGAATACAATCTGTCTCATATTTTCAGCCCTATCCTGTTTTGTCTGTGCAAACAGTGTGATGGTGTCATGGGTAGAATTTTGGGGGGATGGGGGGTTGCACCCCCCCCCCAATAATCAAAACAAGCCAAAATAACCACCTTAAATGGGTGGAGACCTCCACCCTACCAATGCTCAACCCAAACTTGCTCTTGGTTGGAGTGCATGTGTTTGTATACTCTACAGACAGCGGCAAGTGGGAATTACACCCTGACAGTTTCTTAGGAACCTTTTTTTAAACACTACACCCGAAGGATTCATACGTAGCAGATGAGATTAGCTGCAAATCATTCTGGATGCAAATATCTACAGACTCAGCTCAGATTATGTTACTTCTATGTCTGGCTAAGCCTGAGGCTCCATTTCCAGGGATGAAAGCTTAATGAGAGCAGGTGTATTTTGTTATGGACTCTGCGTGTCTATGCATTCTGTGACTGGACGCATTTAAGCAATGTACTTTGTGTAGTTCTGGGAAATGGTGAGTGCAAGCTTCCAATTAATATCATATCCTTCACTGAGACTGATGTCAGTCTAGGATGAACTGTCGGGGTGATGATGTGAGAGGGGTACCTTGCCCCCTTCCCATTACAAGGGGCGAGGCAGTGGTGCCAAGCTGTGGCAGACACACAAGTATTATGCAAGGCTTAGCAGGGTTTCATGACACCTTAGAGAGAGCCAGTGGAGTGTGTCAGGCTCAGGAAAACTGCAAAATGATGCAAATTCTGAGCCTTTGAGTATTGCACTCAGCAATATCCCGAGACGCGCATCGCAGGGAGCTGCGATGCTCATCTTGCGCATTTTTCATACTGCTTAGAAAGCCCTGAAGGAGAATGCCCTCCACTTAAATAAAAAGATGACTTTTCACCTGTTTGCTGCATTTTGCAATTGCATTTATTTATTTATTTTTACATGCCTGTGAGGAAAATATATCTTTCTGATTTGGAAGAAATAGGAGTTAGGAGAGCAATTAAGAAATTCATGACTGCAAAATAATAATGTTTGGGTAATTAAGAAACAATTGTTCAAAAAAGTAATATGTCACTGCTAATAGCAACTCATAAGAGCTAAAACAGCGTTTGCCTGTGTGACTGAGCTACTTTACAGGCCACACCAGTATTCTTGACTAAATTATTTTCTCTTTTATTCTCCTTCTGCTGCGAGCTCAGATTAAATGCATTAATGAAATCGTGGCAATATTGAAACCATACAGGATGTTACCTTTCCCCCTTCGGTGCCTTTTTTCAGTTTGTGCCTTGGGGATTATATAGCTGGCTCTCTCTTCATTTTGCAAACAGCTGACACCACACAACCACACTAAAATCCACAAGGGTTTAAATACAATTCACTGCACAGGCAGCGGAATGACCCACTTCTATATGATGGACACTGGATGGCTTTGTCTGTCTGCTTTGAGAAAGTGAGCCTGTGCACCATTTACAGAGTGAACACTGCATTTATTGCTGCATGCCAATTATCATGGAAAAATGACTATTATAGAAACAGTTACTACCATGATCACTACACTCATACCATGTTGCCTGCTTGGCTTTCACTAAATGAAAGGACCCCTTTTTCCTATCTGCTAAAACATTTTCCAGTCTGGAAACACAAAGGCAGGGCATCGATAAAATTTACAAGCTTCAGTTTACTCAATGAACGAACAGGTGTAAGAGCTGTGCACTGTAAACAAAGACAATAATCATAATATTGATCAAGCGGGAATTTCAACTTCCAAATGAGCACACAGAGCACAGTGTGAAAGGACAATACAGGTAAAACTACTAAATAAATATGCTGATAGATGAATGAGAAGGCCTACTATATGCATGTGTATGCATGATCAATTTAATGAGACACAAATAAGTCATAAGTGCTAAGAAACAATATATAACTACAGCTATAATGAGGGATTGAAATACCTGGTACCCTTAAAAGCGATACGTAAGGCAATCAATTGTTGTAACAGCGTGAATGTGTACATATTTTATGTGCATTTCTGCTGATATGACAAGAAATAATCGTGCATTTTAACCTTTATATGCTAATTCGTACTTCATTTGCGGTATAGAGGTTAAAATGCACAATAACTTCTTGTCATATCAGCGCAAATGCGCATAAAATAAATACGCATTCATGGTGTTACAACAATCGATTGCCGCACGTATCACTTTTAAAGGTGAATGCGTATTTGCATACCAGTTATGTCAATCTCAGGCTATAATTTCTGTGGATGAAGGGCACAGCCATCTTGGAATTCTGAGGATGGAGTTGTAGAGGATCCTCTTACTTTTTGATTCAGAACTCCAACTTCAGGCGTTCCAGATGAAATTTCTGGCTATGAACTCAGAAATTTGTACTTGCCAGTTCAAACAGAACGCACATCCTGATTACAGATAAGCACTTTGAAGGTGATGGGTGACCTTCAGAGACTGTCTCTGGGGTGTCCCGTGTTGAGTGCCCTGTAAGAGAGCCAACCCTAATGACAAATGGTGTTTAGTAGCCTTGCAGTCCCGTTCACAATTCTGCTTCCCTATCAGACACAGCATAACAAATTATCCCAGCTACTGTCCTGCAGAATATCCCCAATAACTTGCTGCACAATTCTAATTTCTAATGAATGACAATCACAGTATACTAAAACTTCAGAAGATTACAACATTATGCCAATTAAATCCATGCTTATGTGATTTAGTGATCAAATTTAAAAAAAAAAATTCTTAACCTTGTTTGTACACTAGTGCTGAGACAGTAACTACTAGAGATGCTAAGTCGCTGTCACCTTTCCAAATCCGGCCAGCCAGCAAATACTCCCAAAAGATAATTAAAGTGTATTGTAATGTCTGGCAAACTGAGGCATTGAGGTGGCAGTGAAAGACAAAGAAGACTTAAAAGAGAATGGATGCCATTTTATTGAATTTTATAAGGACTAACACAGGACTAACACAAGCACTAAACACATAACGGGGAAACACAGGGAGGTCTGACTCCGGAAGGTAAGGCACACCACACGGTGGGTAATTTATGCAATGGCTGAAAAGACGCTAGGATGGAACAGTTCACGCAAGACACAAGCAAGGGCACAAACAACAACTGAAAACACAACAAGTATTAACAATAACACAAACAAGGGTCAGGTCAGGTCGGGAAGCATGCACTGGTATAGCACGTTGCCGCACCTACCACATGACGGAACACCTCAGGATCCCGGTTGGTGCTCCCCAGGTTGACACATGGTCAAGTCCCAACCTCCAAAAATGGCTGTCTATCTGCTGCAGCCAGTTGTTACGTGGGCATCCCCTTGGCCACCAGTCCAGCCACATGGGTCCTCCGCAATGAGGATTTTGCGAGCCGGATCACCCTCAAGGAAATGCACCACATGGCCGTAGTGCCATAACTGACGCTCCCTCATGATGTAGGTAATGTGCCTCATTTGAGACTCCCTGAGCAACCGCTCATTTGACACAAAGTCAAACCAGCGGTACCCAAGGATTCTCCAAAGAAACACAGTCTTTGTCTCAGGTCACTGAATAGCGTCCAACTCTTGCAGACATACAGCAAAACAGGGAGCACCAGGACTCTAAAGACTTGGACCTTCGTCCTCTTGCAAAGATATCGGGAACGCCACACACCCCTTCCAGCGACCTCATGACCCTCCATGCTCTCCCAGTCTGTCTACTGACTTCATAAGAAGAGTCAACAGAGAAATTAATGTCGCTGCTAAGGTAAGTGAACCTCTCGACGAGGTCGACATTCACCCCGCAGACAGACAGGCCGTTAAAGGCCTGGATCTTGGTTTTTATCCAGGACACTCATAAGCCCAGACACTCAGACTCCTCGCTCAGTCTCTTGAGAGCCTTGATTAGAGCCCTCTTTGACTCTGCAAAGATCACAGCATCATCGGCAAAGTCAAGATCAGTGACTCTTTCATCACCAATAAACACAACCCTGCTCAGCACCCAGTCCATGCAAGCACTGAACAGAGTAGGAGCAAGAACACACCCCTGATGAACCCCAAAATCAACTGGGATGAATGCAGAGGTTCTGCCTCAACTCTTCAGAGTACTCACAGTACCAGTTTACAGGCCAGCTATGATGTCCAGCAACTTCTCAGGATGTCCCACAGGGCAGCTCGATCAGCAGTCGAACGCTTCATGAAAATCAACAAATGCTGCAAAGAAACCCTGCCAATATTCACGTATGTGCTTAATGAGAATCCTCAGTGCCAGGATGCGGTAAGACTTCGGGATCCTTGGGTGACTTTAAAGGCGCCTTATAAATAAAATGTATTATTATTATTATTATTATTATTATTATTCTTAGGTCTAAAACCAGACTGCTCTGGTCACTGGTAAGTGAGCAAGTGATCATGGACCCTGTTGAGGATAACCCTAGCAAGGACTAATCCAGGCCATCACCCTTCCCTTTCCAGATACAGACAAGAAGTCCCATTTTCCAGTCAGCTGGGATGACACCCGTCTCATAGATGGAAGCAAAGATTGCTTGCGATGCCAGCAGGACAGCGTTACCACCAGCCTAGAGAAGTTCACCCTAGATACTACAGATCCCTAGGG